CTTTCCCTAAAAGTCACCTTATTCAATGCAACCTATCACTATCTCAGCCTTGGATGTGCGGGAAGCAAATGTTCCATCTAACAGTTCCTCGAAAGAGTACAAATCCTAATAACAAATACCTAGTTCACATATTGGTCAGTCCCTGAGTCACCTTTCCCAATTTCCACCGCTTTCTGGCTTCTTTTCTTTCTTCTTATCATATTCCTCCCGAAACCAGGCGACAACTTTTTGATTAACCTTTTCCTCTAAAATTTGTTTTACTGCCCAACCCATAGATGCCTTTCGAGTCCCAATCTTGAAATGCACCACCGACCGTGTTCTCACAGGCACTTTTTTCTCTCCATCCTCAGATTCAAACATGTTCTGCGCAATCTTGTCAGCTGGAGCAAGTGCCTCGAGTACTACAAGGTGCTTGTTGACCATATGCATTTCCGGGCCATGATTGATGCTAGCTGCATCATTTGAAAGCTCCACAGGCCGGATAACAAGCGATCCCTGCTTCTTCCCAAATCTAAGAGGTGAAACAAGAAATGGGTTAACATCTGCTTCTTGTGTGGAATTTTCAACATCCTTTTGATTGACGGATTTATGGAATTCTGGTTTATAACCATGGGAAGACTGCTGCTCTGTTAAATGAGCAGATCCATTTTCTTTACTCTGCCTATCCAGCTCAGCTATATCAGAATCACCATCAAGAGCTCTCACATTCACTGCCTCTGACTGAACAGAAATCTTGGTTTCAGGAAATGCAGGAAGCCAAACTGGAATATGCTCATCAGGAGGCCTGGCTCCAACTTCAGGAAAGCTAGGAGCTGGTCTTTTTCCTCTGTTAATCGGGAAACAGGGAAGAGAATACGCAAATGGCATCTCCTCTGCTTCTCCAGTATAACGAATAATCTCCTTTACTACACCTGAATAAGCAAAACAATAGTCAATACCAGAAACACCAGAAAAACCCAACCCAGAGCCCAAATCTTCCAGCGCTTGAACAATGTCTGAAGCATTACCCTCTGTTCTACCGGCCATATTAGAATACAAAAGTGCAGTCTTCCCAATCCTCTGGACGTATCTGACTGCTACATCAGTTAGTGTTGCAAGAGCAGACTCTTGAAAAGAACTGAACCTCACTCCCTCACGCAACTGAGATTCTTGAAATGAGTTAACCTCAACGCTCTCGCACGTCTGAGCCACGGCCATCCTTGCAACTGCATAAGCAAAATCGTTGCAGTGAAACTTTCTCTTCCCGTGTAATTCTCTATGCTGAATTCCATTCTCCCCACCTCCATTGATCATATTCAACCCCTCTTATTTAACTTTTTCCAACTTAAAATGCAAAACCATTTCTTGAGAGAAACCAACAATATCCGCATCCCATAAGAACAAAGTATCAACTCATTGGCCGTGAAGCTCTCTTCTCTGCACCTTAAAGCAATATAGAAAGGGCAAAACATCAGACACAGAACAGAAGAAATCGACTTGCCCACCAAGGAAACTGAGGAAGTAAAAGCAAATCAAATATCAATCTTGATCGATACAACAAATATACTCAACCGCGTCAAAACCCTAGAAACCCGCCGGGTCCAGTCACCATAAGAACGAACACAAGAAAACAAAACCTAAAATTGTTGGCAAATTACAACAAAAGAAGTCCAAATGCTTACCAGAGAAGAAGCCGTCTCCATTGTAAAACCCAAAAGCAGAAGTCAACGAGGAAGAAACAAGCTTCAGCAGATTAAACCCTAGACAAAAAATCAATGAATCATAGGTACCGGTAAAGGGATTAGAACTCGAAAACCGAGAAATTTAGTGTTTGGAATGCGATTAAACTCAGCTTAAACCCTTCGATCTGGAGAGAGAGAATGCAAGCTGGAGATTATCGTTTACTTGAACAGAGTTGAAACAAGTGGAATGATAACGTCACTGAGAAACGGAGAAAACCCCGTGACAGTGCTTCGTCTTTCTGCCACGTGTCCCATTTTCTTTTCGTACAGAAATGGCAGTCACATAAAACTCTTGCAAAACTTGTTTACGTTCCTTCTTAAACTTGTAGTGCATTGATATTATTTTTCTTACTTAAAAATCTTAGTACTATTTTTTTTTATTGTGTGTATGATTTATAGTTTATTCCATCTCATTGTGAATTAGTTACCATTACATATTTTATAGTAATTTTATTTATATCACCGTCTGATTGTCATCGCAACTTCGTCCCTATCCAATTTGATTAGTTCAACCAATAAAATGGAGATAAACGTGAGTCTCGCTATGAATTCGAGTCTTAAATTGGAGAAGAGAACGCAATTCCAATCACATTGTTTGTTCCCGACTCCAGAATTAATTTGAATCTCGGTCCAAAACATTCGGTTACCAAAAAAAATTTTGTTCGATGCTACAATGCTACAATTATAAAGAATTTCTAACCATATTTCAAAACTAAATAAAAAGAGTAATTAAGATACATATGGCAAAATAAGAATATTTACAATAGTGATAATGATGACATATTATAATATGGTCCAAGTTGAGAAAAAAAAAACTTTAATAATATACATATATATGTGTGTATTCCACCAAAACAAAGTATGATAAATTGACAAACAAACACGAGTATTACTAGTTGGAATCATGAAGAATATTTGAAATTCAATACATTAGATTACTTTGTCAAATGCGTATGTACACAAGCATGCATGCATGCATGCACACCGTACACATATACATGCGCGCACACACATATATGTATATATATATATATATATGTATGGATGCAGGTATAGATATGTCTGTATATAGGTGTACGAACCAAAAAATGAAGGCTTTGCAGAACATATGATGAAATGACAGGGCATTGGATCTGTAGCCGTTTACACTTGATAGATCAACCAATCTGTACAAAGGCAGCTTTTTTGCTATTTCTCCTAACTCGTCTTCCTCCGGATCAGTCACTCCTTTTTTTCCCTTCCGGCAGAATATTGCACATATATATATATATATTACACTGCCTATATCTGTGTTTGTATGTATCTGCGGCACTATTTTGCATTAAATAACAAGATTGATACAAATTGCTATAAATTTTTATTGGCACGATAAATTTCGTCGTCTTTTTATAGCTTCTTGTTATATCATACGTATGGTTTTTTTTTATACATTGGAACCCCGGCTGCTATCATTCGGACGCGCTGACTGAATAAACCCAACGAGGTAAATCAACCGTAATTGACAAGCGATAGGTGAGCAGACAAGGAGTCGAACCCCCAACCTCTCAGTATGTTGACCATGCTCCTTGCCAACTCACCTAGGGGTTTCCCCACGTATGGTTTTTTTTTTTACTATATGCCGGGTAATATCGAATTATGGGTCGTTGATATATATATAATATTTCATTTACGGTATTTCAAGTTCGTCATATGGCCGGGAATCTAAAACATACTGCGCAGTACGTACGTATATCCTAAAGTTAAGTGAATTGTTTTCTTATCAACGACGGCATGTACATATATATATATATATGAGGACAATGACTTTCCTTCATGATATTACGTACGGGTATTTATAAAAGAAACCTTATCATGTAAATGAATTCAAATCAATATCTATACCAAGGTCCAAGAACTTGATAACACGGTCATCATGGACCGGCACTACAATAAATCGCATTAATTTCCCCAAAGACCGGTCAATTACGCGAATGATTTATCTTCTTTCCATTTATGTTGCATTTTGCATGCTACAAAAAACTATATAACTCAAATTCACTAAATAAGCAGCTGTCACGTACGTCTAGCTAGTTAAACCCTTAGAAAAAGCAATCAATATATATATATATATATATATATATATATATTGAGATCAAAACAGAAGTCATTTATAAATAAAACAAAACGTTAGGCGATCGAAGATGTGTTGAAAGCTGACCATATCCGAAAAACAATACATTATACCTTATTTTGCTTTTCGACCGAGCCCAACCTCGAGTTCTCTTCTCATTCTCATGCGTTGAATATATTTCTTTCACCTTCATAAAATCAATTCGGATGATCGCTTCCTCCACTCGTGCTACTCTCCGAGCCTAGAATCGTGGGCACGTTACCGGCGTTTGCGTTTGCGTTTGCGTTTGCGGCCGAGGTATTAGCCTGATTGAACTGAACCGGCATTCGAGCATTGTGATGAGCACCAAACCCATGTATCAAAGAATATAGAGCCGACACGTTTCGTGACGAGGCCGGTAACTGAAACTGGCTCACCATTTGTCTCGGATCCATCATCTCCATCGGCGATGGAAACAAAGACTGTGTCGTCGCATTTGTCGTCGGACACACCAATATTTGCGATGGAAACGGGACAAGGTTATGGTTCTGATGATGTTCTGTCTGAAAACTCGAATGATGATGATGTTGATGATGATGTTCCATATTGTAGTAAGTTCCATATGATGATCCAACATGATGATGATGGTGAATGTTGGTTCCCAAACCGACGTCGTTCTTGCCCCGCTCGTCGTTCTCTTCCTCGCGACCGCGATCTTGTTCTTCGTCCTCGTGATTAGCGAGGGTTGAGTCGTCGTCTCCACCGATCTTGAAACCGAGTTGACCCGGTTCTTGACTCGTGCTGAGACCCGGGTTGAGATTCAAGATCAACTGCTGGTGTTGACGGTGGTGGTGGGGGAAGAGAGTGAAGTTCTCCGGAGAGATGGGGAGAGGAGGGAGCTCGTCGATCTCGTCTTTGGCGGCGTCGAGCAACCAGTCAACGACTTTGCTCGGCTGGTCAACGCCAAGCCGCTCTTGCAGATCGTAGACCTGAATCGCCGTGGGGACCGATAATCTCACGCGCCTGTCACGTAGACCTCTCAAAGTCGACACCTTGCTGTGGCGGTCTTTGCCTCCGAATGCCCTCGAAACCCTAACGATCCTCGGGTCCTTCGATCTTAACCATGACGACGACGAGGTTGAGGAAGATGGCGGCTTCGTAATTACGGTTTTGCCATTGGCGGCGGCGGCGGCTTCGGTGGATCCGTCTCGTCTAGCTCCTGAAACGTCGTCGTCTGCTTCTCTCCAGCTCGCCATATTCATCTTGTTGTATACTGTCTCTACCCTCGTCGTTGCGGTCGGTCCATATAAGCTGATTAATTTCTTGTATATAAGAGAACCTTGATGCAAACCATTGAGACAATCCCAGAACGGACAAAGAAAATCAGGAAGAAAAAAAAAATCAAAGGAAGATATGAAAAAAGAAAATTCATACTCACACACATATATATACATGCATACATATATATGTCAAGATTCATGCAATTTTATATATGCGGAGAAAACTTGTTGACACCGGAGAGCAATTTTCTTGAAATTTCAGTATCGAATGTTAGATTTATTTTATTTTTCTCGATAATACTTAATTAGAAACTGCAGAATGAACAATCTGAAGCTTCTTCTCCTGAAAAAATTATGCCATGGAAGAATCTAAAATTAAAGATCTGTAAAACTAAATACTGATTGCCCTAAAGAGATTCATACCGATTTCGGCATATTTTCTTCGTTTAGGGTTTCTGTATCCTGCTATGTTTCATGTGAATGCCTCCACACGCATAGATATACACATGCGAGGAATGATTAAACCCTAGCTATATATATATATATATAAACGTACATGATATCTATGTCATCTTAAGACATGGAAAATAGCAGGACTCGTATTTTTTTTAGCTTATACATGTATATATATATATAGAGAGAGAGAGATGATGATGATGATAAAACAGCAGCTTATGATAAGCTCAAATTCTTACCAGATCGATCATCAAGCAGTGTGTCTGGTGAGTAAGCTCATGGGAAAGCCCAACTAGGGTTTTTTTTTTTGTCTCTCCTACAAAGTGAGTAAAAATGATGAACACAAAGATGGAGGAAGGAGAATAAGAAAGAAAGTATTTGATTCGATATTTTTCAATTTTTTTTTCTTTTAAAAAAAGGTTTAATAAAGAAATATAAAGGAAAATAATAAAGAAGATGCTTTGGGGGAAGTCATCTATCGAACCCTACCATATGACTCCAAAATTGGACGAATTTGCACTGAAAATGTTTAAAAGCAATGGACCTCATGTTGCCACGTGGCATTTATCTCTATCCCCACAAAATTATTGGAAATTAAATGCGTGCTTCAAATCAAGTTTTTCATTTAATCTCTCTCTCTCTCTCTCTCTATATATATATATATATCTCTCTCTCTATATATATATATATATACACATATATACACACCTTAGCATGATATAAAAGCGTGCAATGAAGAGTGGTGTTATAGAACACGTAATGTTCTTGTCAATCGATCCAACAATGTTTATTTTTACAAATATATACATCATTTTTTTTAAAAAAAATGTTTTTTTAGGGTTTAGCATTATATATGTTCTTATTAAATTATATATAACATCTGAAATGCTTTATTAGATACCGTGTTATTGCAACAGGATTTAACTAGGGATCATACCACAAAGTATTTAGATGCCCAACAATCTTAATTAACACTTGGCATCTAAGATAATGATGGATCTTAATATATGTTTTTCATATATAAATTTGGAAAAGTGCATGCGGTGGTTATATGGACAGTAACAAAAGTTAGAAAACGAGTTACTCAAAGGCACGCCTGTCGTACCTCTTGCCGCATCCTTTCCAAAATAAGTAGATATGCACAAAATAAGCATATACACATTATTATTAATCAATCAATTTATACAACACTATAAACCCTAAAATACTTTGCTAACTAATTCCATATTCCTTCCAAATAAACCATATTTATTTAAAGCATCTATAGAAACCATAATTGTATACTAAGTAACATCTATTTCACAAATTATATATGCATATATATATATATATATATGCGAATTTTATAATAATTCTGAATAGTTTGATTTGGCTTTGGGATCGGATACTGTGGTACACAAAAAATGGGGAAATTTTTCGCGTGTGTATAAAATATAATATATGTATAGTGTGAAAGCAATTTGTCATTGCGAATGAAACCAAAAGAGTGATAGGGAGGTGATGATGATCGTTTTATATCTCACATGGGCAATGGGAGAGGGGGACAATATTAGAATCCACTAAGTCATGTCTTCTTCATTGATTCAATAAAAGCTTTTTAGATTTTTTTTTTCTTTTAGCTTTTTTTTTCTAATTAATCTCAATGATATATAACACCCAAAAGAAATACGTGAGGGACCAACAACAATAACATTCCAAGGAACACTTCACTATATTAGTTTTATATGTATATATGTATGTATGTATGCATGTACCCACACACACCATCCATTCATCCACTCATATATATAATGCAACTAGACGATGGAAAGCTTTCCATTTTAAAGAAACGTAATTCACAATATATAGATTTTAACCCAAGTTCTTGGGTGATTTTGCGATAGGAGAAAATTAAAAGTATGCTCTTACTGCGAGTTCAAATCCAAACGTGGAGAAGAGATATTCATCCGGATTTCATCGGTCCTCTTAGAGATATAGTTAGATAATTTTCGGATTATCAAAAAAAATATATAGATTTTATGAATAATGATTTTTTTTCGTCACCACATTTGTGTTGGAAATTGATATGAGATCATATACTGATATAGTACTATGTTAAATTTATTAACATATATAGTATGTGAATTGTTTTATAATATTTATATATTAACATGCTCCTTGATATATATAAGAATTTTAATATGTGACACTGCAACTATATTTTGAATCGATAGATTCAGTTCTATCTTTTTTAGAGGAAAAAAAAAAATCTGATGTAGAAGAAAAAGAAATTTCCTTAAAGGAAATGAGATGCTGAAGAACAAGGACCACTGCTGTGCTTTCCTCCTCTCTGCAGTAATTAAAGATGCTCCATGGAACAATTATCTCCGGAGAACCAAATATACATGCACACAATATATACGTATACGTATACATGCATGCCATATTTGTGTGTGTATATATTATATATATATATATATATATGATATCATGCATATATATGTTTAATACGTATGGACAGATTGCGAAACGTGTGATTTTGTGAAGCCAATCATCTAAGTGGTTAGAGAAGGAAAAAATACATAGGCTAGAGACGCCAACAAAAATATTTTTTTTTCCCGTTTCCATAAACAGTCATATATATATATGGGCGTACCCAAGGTATGAGGCATAGGCCCCATTCTTTTTATTAAAAAAATTAGTTTCATTATAAATTCTATAAATTTTGAATAAAAACTGTCGACTGGCCCCGTGAAAAATTAAAATTTGTCTTTAAGATTATATAAAATTTTATGTTGCCCCCAATGATAAGTTTTGTTAGGTCTGCCCATATATATAAATGTATTCTGAAAAGGAACAATGGCATATATATATACACACACATACACTACATATATAATGATCATATGATGCGACTTTAGTGTTGGACATGATGGGCTTTACATAGGAAGATTAAAAGCATGAATCAATATTTTTTTTTAATTTCCTAATTGTTTCCAAATATTTTATTTAATAATATGATATTGATGCAGCCGACAACGATGGAGATCGAATCCTAGGACTAAAGCTAACTATATTTGCTCATAGATAGAGAAAAGTGTGTAATAGAACATCGAGTAGTTGGCAAGAAAACACTTTGCATATACATTGAACAATTCTTTGAGCTTTGATTATGATTTTAATTGGACCGGTCATGATATGAGCTCTTCGACGATTCTTTATTATATTGCACGTGACCATCAGACCGTGCATGTTTTACACCATATAATTAATCCTTAATTATTAACACTAACGAAACATGATCATATATATATATATATATATATATATATATATATATCGAACAATATGATGTAATTAATAATTTATAGTAATATATGTCGATCTTTTGCACAGTGAATTGTGTTTGATTGTATATGAAACATTTTAAATATATAGATACAACAATATATAAGCTCAATTAATGGAAAAACGTATATATATCGCACAAAACTTTGAAGTAAATTTGTACATAGTCTAGCTCAGAGCTTGCATGCATGTATGACGTTGCATGTATAAATATAACGAGGCTGCATATTGATCGTAAATTCAAGCCGACCACAGGGAAATAACTGATGAACGGATGAACAACATATATTGAAATACACGTGTATATATATAGAGGTATCTGTGTGCTGTATAGATAAAGTAGAGGAGAGTGGGTGGGCATCCCGAGAGGAAAATAAAAGAAGGAGAGATTGTTTGGTTTTAGTGATCCAATTCCAAAAGCAATTATATAAATGTATTATAATGGTCCCCCTTTTTATTTCACATTTCTTCCTCATTTTTACCCACCCCCATCCCTTCTCTTTTTTTTTACTGTTCAAATTTTGTTACCATATATATATATATATATATATATATATTCATATCATATGTGATTACATATACACATGCACCCATGAAAATAAATCAAACAGAACCTATATATGTATGTATGTATGTATGTATGTATTAGACACATCACGGAAATTACAACAGTTAAGCTGTACACATTCATCAGTCCACCTTGTCTGAAACCCGACATGTCATCTCGTACTCGGGCGCTACATACCCGCAACTGCCGTCGTTGCGTGAGTTTCCGATGTCCCGAGGAGCCTGGCTAACCCGAAATCCAACATACATGTGTCGTATTCCTCGTCCAGGAGGATATTGCTCGGCTTTACATCTCGGTGAATAACTCGGGGAACGTATGGGTGTGGAGAGGTATGCGAAGGCTCAGGCTATGTCTAGAGCCATCTTGTGAAGAACCCTCCATTCTACTGCTCTTTTCGATCTCTGTTGTACGGATTTCTCCATGTTACCTCCCGGGAGATAGTTGTACATGAGGAACTCTCTCTCTCTCGCTTGCGTGATATCCGACGAGGGTGACGAGATTTGGGAGTCGGATCCTTCCTAGGGTCTTGATCTCGGCGTGGAACTATTGGATGTCTTGCAACTGTCCAATGGAGAGCCGTTTGATCTGTACGAGCTCATTAGGAGCGATCAAGGACTTTCAGAGATTGCAACTGAACAAAACTCGCCAGAATTTGCCCTATAAACTCGTCGGATCCGCCTGAGTTTCTCCGGTATCTGACCCTGCATTTGATTCCAGCTGAGATTAAGAGCAACGAGCGAGACAAGAGCGCCAATATCAGACGAGATAGACCCAGATATCTGATTCGTCGACAGATCAAGAAGCTTAAGAGAACTGCACATTTTGCTGATTCCTTCGGGAATGCGGCCAGAGAGCTCGTTGAAGCTTATATTGACATAGAAAGCCTCGAGTCCATCACACATGTCGAACAAAAATCCCGGGAACTGGTCTTACAATTTATAGTCTCCGGCAGAAAACATGTAAGAAACTCGCTTTCCCAACCGCGCCTTCACTATTGGTACCGGCTGAAGATTTCCCGTGAAGTTGTTGCCTGCATAATTATTAATTATGAAACACAGCTCAACCTCCACTGCGTCCAACTCGAGCAGCCTTCTCAGTGAAGAACGAGAGATAAACAGACGGTGGATCATTGTATGATTCGACAGAATACCCATCAAAGTAAACGGTGGGAGGGCAATCAGTGATGTTACCAAACGCCAGGATCAGCCCCGAGAATCTGTTTCCGCTCGCATCAAAGACAGCCATGCAGGGGACTAAAAATTGGTCGAGAAGCTCTCCAGCAAGCGTATTCAAGATCAAGTCTAGAAGCCGTAGGATATGGCAATTCCCAAGACCGAAAGGAATCTCGCCATTGAAGAAGTTCCGACCTAAACTAATCATCTCCAAGATATTACACGAACCCCAATCCTCCGGCAATCTTCCCTCTAGTGTAGCTAACAATTTCTCCGGGAATTTCTCCGGCACCCTCAAGATCCTTAGTTCGAGAAGCCTAACAATTTCTCCGGGAATTCCCCCTTGGTAAAAACTTGAAATCCTCTTTCATCAAGGTCATATCCAAGCCTCATGGCAGATTGCCGTCTCCCCTAGTGATGTTGATGTCATCATCATACACATTGTACAGATTCGACAGTACGAGCACAGACAGAGACACGAGCAGTTTCCCAGCTCAACAGACAACGGATCTCTAAGGCTGTTCCTTGACACATCCATCACTTCAAGCTTCTGAAGATTTTCGAGTTTCGACAGACAGGGATTGTCTCCACTAGCAAATTCGTATACAGCTGCAGCAACAATAAGCTTAGCTCATGGCATTTCCCCAAACTCCGTGGAATCCTTCCCGTTATGAAATTCCCAGACAAGTCTAAATGCTCAAGCCTCCCACAGTTATCACCTATTTCTTCCGACAAGGATCCCTGAAGCCAGTTCAGTGGCAAGTGTTCCACCCAGAATCTCCCGACAAAACCCCGAACAGTTCCATTCGCTCTGTTTCCAGCTAAAGTTCAAAATCTCCAACATTAGACATGTTTCTACAGGGAATCAGGTATTTCCCCTGAAATTCTGTTAAACCCTAGATTCGGGACCCGCAAATTCCATAACCCAGCAAATTGAACCGGCAACGACACGGATACCAAATTCCCTTCCAGATCAAGAACTTCCAGCTTCTCCATCCCCCAAATTTCGACAGGAATCTCTCCGTGGAAGGCATTGAAGGGAAGCGACAAAACCCTAAGTTCTGTGAGACCAACGACGACAGAAGGCAAGTTCCCCGCCAAAGTTCCATGATTTCCGACGCAACTCCCCCGGACTCCAAATCCTAACAGTGGAAAAATTATCAAAATCACTTGCAACGGTTCCGATCTCCGCCGGAGCTACCCCTTTGTCGCTCCCAGAGCCACTGATGTTAAGAGCGACGAGTCGTGAGCTCGAATCGCAATAGACGCCAAACCAATAGCAGTAATCCGTACTCTCCACGCGCCAGCTAGCCAGCACCGAGTCCGGGTCCTTGAACCGCAGCAGTTCCGATATGTAAGAATCGGTCGAGACGGTCCGTTTCCGGCGAGGAGACTAGCGATACAGAGCAACTAGACCGATAGCATCACGTTTGAAGGCATGGGTCTGCGGAAAAAGAACCATTTAATCACTGGCGAAGGCAAAGGAGCCATTTTTCACCCCAAAACCCTAAACCCACCTCGCAATTAACCTAATTTCGAATTGACGACTGAAAGATCCTTCTTTCTCCGCGCAAAAATGATCCCAGGCCCTTGGCCTTACCGGATGGCGAGAAGCTCTTGGAGAGAGGCGATGCTGGAAGGGGAGAGGGAGAGAGAAATCAACACTGCCACAGGGGACGACGTCTCTTCTACTCAACTCTAACATGTTTTTTTTTTTTTTTTCCGGTTGGGTGGTTTCATTTGGGAGGGAAAAAAGATAAATAATTATTAAATTCATTGGGGTCCCAAGTGTTGAATTCCCATTGGCTAATGAAGTAATTATTCAAACTAATTTACAATAATGTTTTTCTTATACAATTTTAATTTCAGAACAGGGAATTTTGAAATTGATGCATTATTTTATCATATATGGAAGTGATACAGAACACTAGTTCGTTTTCAAAATTAGACTGCACCTAAAAAAATCTAATACATAAAAATCTAATGGATCACATTATTGTTTTTTTTTAACCAATGAACTTCATCAAATAATAAAAAAGTACCTTACAGTATTTCAGCTAAATAAAATACTCATTAATTTATCTTAGGCTAAATAAACATTTTGCAATACATATTATATTTAAAAACGATATTCTTTATTTTTAGTCTTGGGAAATTTAAATAGTGAAAATTGGTCCCAATCGCTTTTTTTAGGTAACAACAAATCATAGAAGCCTCAATATAAAGCAACTGTTACAAACCAAGCTGTTTCGTATTTAATGAAGTCCTAATTTTGTCATCATGTACCCAATATATTTTAGGGGAAATTAAGGAATAAACTTTTATAAATTTGAAATAAAGATATCTTTATGTTAATAATAATAAGAATAATAACAATATTTATTTGTTTTTTTTTCTAGTTATTTTTAAATCAATGCGATGCGTAATTTTGTTGTCCTAGCAATGTATACATCAGCATGACATAACATACATATCATCATTCAAACTCTGCATAATAATCAACACAATTCTTTTATTAAATGAAACAATTTTTAATAAAAAAAAAACACACAGAGAGATTCACAGCGATAACACCACCGACAAGCATGTGTTTTTCTTTTAGTTGCTTTTATATTGACTGATTCTTCTAGCAACCAACTGAAGATACTTCGTTCTGAAATAAACCCGTCTCCGGTGTCCGAAGATCTTGAATCTGAGATAATAACAATAACAATAAAGATTGACATACACAGAAATATGTAATTAGGACCGGTTAAGGGTCGGTATGATGAGATTAAACCAACCTTGGTTTGGTTAAGACTGGGAGGAAGAAGAGAACCGGGAGCCTTCCGGTTTCTAGCGAGCAGACCTTTGGTCACCGGAGACATCATCGCATCTGTTGGACTCCTGTACCTACATATATATTATACATATACATATACGCTCATTATAATAAGAGATTTTATAGCGTTTTTCTTCATACCGATTGGTGTTATATATATATATATATAAAGATGGTACCTTTCAGGGAATTTGAAGGCTTTGGGGACAGAGAGGCGATCGGGTGTGCAGATCTTTTTCATGGGCTCGTAGCCGCAATCTCCCGTCGGCGCCAGCGGCCGAGGCGGCGATTCACAGTCCACGACTGCGTTTTCACTGTGGTCCGTTTGCGTTTTGGGAGGCGTTTTGAGCTCTGCAGGTTCCATTGGAAATCGAGAAGATGAGGAAGACAACTTTGAGAGAGAGAGATTGAGTTATGGGGAGAGAGAGAGAGTGTGAATATAAGGGAGTGTTAAGCTGAGAATATGACCGTTTGAAGGGGAAGAATGGGGTTCCAACGGTTGGATTTTCATTGGGATATAATTCACTAGTGACCCACTCTTTTAAATTAAAAAATAAAAAAAAAAAAATTGAATTTTATAAGGAAGACAATACATAGAAATCCAACTAATCTTTAAGGAAGAACATGAAATCCAAATTTAGCATATGAGGTTATTGCCTAAAAACAGAAGGATAAGATTTCAATTTTAATGATTTTGAATTCCGATTTACCTTTTCTACAACTTATTCCTCTCTCTCTCTCTATATATATATATATATAGTGTAGAATCTGGGCATTAAATCAAGTGGAGCCCATGGAGCCCATAACCCGACTATTTGGGCTTGGCCCATTTGACGAGTAGTACCTTCAGCCCACGTCTAATTTGATCTAATGGGCTGGACCTATTCACACAGAAATCGATAGATAAAGGTGACATTTGATTGGACGGTGAGGGAACAGAAGTGAACGACAGGTGATAATAGCAGAAAGAACGGTCTACAGGGGGAGAAGCATCGAAAGGGAGCTTGCGTGTCTACTCTGACAGCTCTCTAAAAGGACCAACGGGCCTTACATCGTGGACCCCACTCCGTGCATATTTAGGGATTATTATAATCTTTTAATTTCAATATCAGAAAAAGTTTGTTCCATTTTTCCAACGTAACGTAAATTCGTGACGTTTAACTTTTTTTTTAGGTATATAATTACCTGTCTCTTTACGGAATTATGATAAATCCAAATGACAATATAAAAAAAAAACTAATTACATTTTCTCTGTCATGATGTAAAAAAACAATACACAAATTACATATATTTTCGAGGATATAAATTATTATATAATACACATTATTGCTAGACGAGTCATCATTAATTCCAGAACATTAAATTATCCACCTCGGAAAGAATTACACCGTTTTAGCATTTCAAGGTTGTATACTGATATATGATTTAATTTCATATGCTATTTTAATTCTCATAAAAATAAAAATAAAAATAATTATCGTCCGATGAAACCTAAAAGTGTTTAAAATTTTAATTCATAACAAATTCAGGAGAACTTTATTTTACCAAGAATATTAATGTATAATAATTTAGAGATACGGTTATAATGGACTTCAATGATATACTTAAACTTAGGTCTCCTTGCCAACTACTATTTCTGTACGCCTTAAATACCGTAATTACTGCCACTTTAAATACCTACTTTATTCACAATGAGTCCCCATAAGATATACATATATATATATATATATACACACACACTCAGGGGAATCTAGAAATTTATAAATTTTATTGAGATTTTTTTGGAAATATAAATTATCAAGCATAGTAAATACGATATTGTAAAGCAATGTAGACTTTGTAACTATAGATGAATTAAAACTAATTTATACACTAGTTGTAGGAATTAAATGATATAATAAAATCTAAAGTAATTTAAAATATATTTTTTGTCAATTCCATGCCATACCAAATGGAAGTTGTAACAAGTTTTGTTCTCTAATAAAAAGCTCGGGTCCTTTGTTGGGCCTTTTTCGTCCGTTTAATTTTAAAGTATACTTTTTTATTCAGCTTTTTAAAATATTGTTAGCTTTTTAATAAACAAAGCAATGATTAAAAAAAACTCAATTTTCAAATTTTAACAAAAAAAAAATATTTAACTTTTTTATTTTATCAAATAAATATTAAACTTTTAAAATGTGATAAAATAAATATTCAACTCTTCTATAATTGTCAAAATAAACAAAATGACTGACGTGACAGAAAAAAATACAAACACATCAGATTATTTTACTAATTTTTTTTACAATCGTAGAAAATTCATGTATTTTCTTAGATTACTAAAAAAATTTAGTATTTTTTGATAATTGTATAAAAATTTATATATTTTTTGGATCATTTAAAAAGTTTAGTATTTTTTTAGATTCGTTTAAAAAAATTAATCATTATTTGATAAAAAATAAAGTTTAGCGCAAAAGAACAAACACGTCCTCACGCCAACAGTGCCATATTGTTACAAAGAGCCAAAAAAATTCATGATTTGCGTTACACAATTAATATAATATAATTAATTTCCACAGCTATTTACATATAAAAAATAAAAAACAATAGCTCGGCCACTAGAGGAATAACGAGATATTTTCACACTAGAGATCTAATTGTAAATCAAATTTTAAAAAATCTACTATATTTTTCACTAAAAATATTTGGGATATGGAAGGAACAAATAAATTATCGTTGACGTTAATACATTCGTCATTAAAAATATTAACACATCATTAATATTTTAGATAAATGTGCATTTACAAACATGTTTGTTTTTAATGCCCTGTCATATTATCAACGTATAATTTTTTTTTTTTGAATAGAGGGTTGTCACTGAAGTCATCATGATATCTTCCTTCAAAGTACTACCGGCAATAGTATTGGTGGGTCCACGGTTTCATTTAATTTATCTATATATACATGTGTACACACACGTGTATATATATATACACACATGCATGTCTTTGTCTCTATTTAACAGAGAGATTTTTCGTTTCTTTAACCATTTCTCTTTAGCTTTCTCTGCCATGGAGATGGGCAAAAAAGGAGCGATTTCCGTCACATTCATCGTCGTTCTCGTGATGACCTGTCAGGCCCAAAGTCAACGAGGCGAGGAAGAAAAAGATCGGATTACGTCACTTCCCGGGCAACCTGACGTCACGTTCGAGCAGTTCTCCGGCTACGTCACCGTCGACAGAGTCGCCGGAAGAGCTCTCTTCTATTGGCTCACCGAAGCTTCTCGTCTCCCTTCCTCCAAACCTCTCGTCGTTTGGCTCAACGGAGGTATAAATATTCTATATTCATTCTACCACTTCATTAATTATATTTTTCTTTTTTCTTTTTAAAATATCGCAATTTCGTTTTCTATTTTTTATTTTTTCATATTTAAAAGTTTTTTTTCTTTGGTTACTTGGTCTTACGACCGAAGCATGGGAATGATGCCCTAACTACTAATGGAGGAAGCCGAAAATCCATGCAACGCCATGTTTTTGGACAATAATAATTGACATATTAAATGATATTATATTTATTTGCATTTACAATATAGTATCAAATTCGTCCGTATTTTGACGTGTCGTGATATCATACGGACCGGCCATTACGCTACAGCTACTACCTATTTACTATTTCTCCATGCATTCAATAAGATCAGACCGTTGGCAGCCGACTAGAGCAAACGTGAAATTGAATTAAATGAAAAACATGCATACATCTCTAATCATTAATACACACACATACACATCCGTGTACACACCATATGTATGCATGCATATGTATAAGTACGCGTATTTTGGTCATTTTTTTAAAAAAAAATTGCGATTATATAAAATATTAACGTTTTATTTTGTTATGATTGCGGACGATTACCTACGACCGGTCAGCACCTTTGTGTATGTCTAACATGATAAGCTGTCATGTATTTGTATCACAAACATGAGATTTTTCTTAATTAATTTTGTGAATTGTAGCATATTAATCTATGCCTGTATATACATATTAATATTATATTGTATGTAATATGTATAATTTAATCCCCACCCAAGTTGTAATAAATCCAAGAATACGAAAAGTTTGTCTTTATTACACACACACACACACACATATGTATATATATATATATAATGAAAAATACGGGACACAAATAATTTTGAAAGCGAAAGAACACTGCAATACACACAACTACCAAAATTGCACAAGTTTGGCCCCTAGCACCCTATTGTCTTCTTTCATTTAAATTTCAACTTCTATGAAACTCTATCCAAATTTTTATTTTCAATCAGCCTTATTATATATATATATATATATATATATAACAAGACATTAGCTACACTAATATGTGACAAAGGCTAGGAAATAAAGTGACGAGTCTGAAAAGGAATCAATATAGGGCGTCGTTTAATTTAATAATTTTATGTAATTTGTGAAAAAAAAACACAATGGAATGTCAGGACCGGGATGCTCATCGGTGGCGTACGGGGCATCGGAGGAAATCGGACCGTTTAGGATAAACAAGACAGGGAATGGACTGTACGTTAACAGGTTCGCGTGGAACTCACTCGCTAATCTTTTGTTCCTCGAAGCCCCTGCCGGTGTCGGCTTCTCTTACAGCAACCGTTCCTCCGATCTCTTCAATACCGGCGACCTCCGTACCGGTATTCCCTTCTAACCCTCCCAATTTTATCGGTTCTCTTCGGTTTGTTTCCGGTTACTGTCGTACCGGTGCGTTGGCTGTTCTTCTTCCGGTCCTTTATCTTCCCCGGTTCTTGATTCTTGGTTTCAAACCGAAATTTTCATAATGGTTATATGCTTATTGGTTGGTTTGCAATAACCGATTTTCTTGAAACCGGTCAAGGGTTTCCTCTTCTATATACATCACACTAACCTCTCACGGGTTTTTCTGTTTTCTTGCAGCTAAAGATTCACTTCAGTTTCTCATCCAATGGTTGGATCGGTTTCCGCAGTACAAAAACCGCGAAATCTACATCGCGGGCGAGAGTTACGCAGGCCATTACGTTCCTCAACTCGCCCGGGAAATCATGAACTACAACAAACATTCCAAGCCTCCGATCAATCTCAAAGGAATCATGGTACGTATACACATACATATGTATGCATCTTGAAAACTGTATTGCTCTCTGTCTAAAATCCTTTTTCTGATTCAAAGGTCGGGAACGCGGTGACGGACAACTACTACGACAACCTGGGGACAGTGAATTATTGGTGGAGCCACGCAATGATATCGGACAGAACGTACCACGACTTGTTGAGCTCCTGCGATTTTAGCCGTCAGAAGGAATCCAACGAGTGTGAGTCGCTCTATTCCTATGCAATGGAGAAAGAGTTCGGTAACATCGATCAGTACAACATCTATGCCCCTCCCTGTAATAAGTCCGACGACGACTTCTCCCATGGCCGCCATGGCATGCGCCTCCCCCACCTTCCCCACTCCGTAAGTATAAGGGTAATAGCGGGACCTATCCGTACTAAGTAATGCACTACCGACAGTAAACCGGAACCAAACCGTGAACACTTTGGTTTTACATCGGTTTAAGTTGTCATGATACGAGAGAATCGGTCGTTTTACTTACCATTACCATTATACGGCCTAATGCGAGTTTTTTTGGGGGGCATGGGAATAAAGGTAATGAGGAAGATTGCAGGGTATGATCCGTGTACGGAAAGATATGCGGAGATATACTACAACAGGCCCGATGTTCAAAGAGCTCTTCATGCTAACGTAACCAAGATTCCATACAAATGGACCGCTTGCAGGTTCTTACACCAATATATTCTTTTCCTCCATCTCTAAACTTCAAAACGCTTGTACAATTTACAGCTAACGCTTCGTTTTCTTTTCGTGCAATCGGGTTTGGTACAGTGAAGTGCTGAACC